CAATACCAGACACTGCTCCTAGAGTATTTGGGGCTGGGACGGGGGAGCCCAGGCAAGGATTCTGACATCTGCGTGGAAGAGTCAGGGCAGGCTGGGGGTGGTTTGAAGGGAGACCTGTGACCTGAGACCTAAAGTAAGTAAAACAAGTGTGTCCAGGCACATGCAGGAGACCTGCAGCTGGCAAGGTGAGGGCCTGTTACAGGTTATAGTGCGGTTGTAATTTCTCTGGAAACCTGAGAGGCTTGGGTGGGACCCAGAAAACCCATCTGGCGTAGCCCAGGAGCACCTTCTGCTGTTTGAGGCAGCTTTGGTGGTGGCAGAGTTTTCCTTACTACTGAACTAAAGGTTAGAAGTCTAAAAACCAGTCTGAGATGGGGACTCTGACATGCATGGAGGTTGTCTGCATAGGTTGCCTTGAACAGCCTTGCCTGTCTTTGAATCCTCCCTGCTCCTGGCTGTGTAGAGGCCCTTGCAGTGGTAGCTCAACCCTCTTCTGCTAGTACTATGAGGCCAGTGGTGGCAGAAGCTACTTGAAGAGAGATAAGAAGGATGCTCAGTGAGGTGACTCAGTTGCCCAGATTGTGCTCTAAAATCCTATTGTCTGTCTGTCTGTCCTGCCCCCCCCCGCCCCCGTTCTTTCAGCTACTGGAACCTGTACTGCTTCTCGGGAAGGAGCGATTTGCTGGCGTGGACATCCGAGTCCGTGTGAAGGGTGGTGGTCATGTGGCACAGATTTATGGTGAGTCCCAGGAACTGGGCACATGGGTGGGAGGTGGCTCTGAGAGCAAGGTCCTACTCTCGGACCTTCACAAAATGCGTGTACCTTATTTTGTGTGTTTTTCTCACAGCAATCCGTCAGTCCATCTCCAAAGCCCTGGTGGCCTATTACCAGAAATGTGAGTGAGTGGGTCTTTCCATCAGGTGGGTGGGGGCAAATCAAGGACCAGCTCTGGCATTTAGCTCCAGAGAGTAGGTGTATGCTTTTGTGGTTATCTAAATCTTGACCCCACTTTTCATCCCCAGATGTGGATGAAGCTTCCAAGAAGGAGATCAAAGACATTCTCATCCAGTATGACCGGACCCTGCTGGTAGCTGATCCCCGTCGCTGCGAATCCAAAAAGTTTGGAGGTCCTGGTGCCCGTGCTCGCTACCAGAAATCCTACCGATAAGCCCATCTGGGTTCACCTTTGTAATAAACAATGGTCATGGAATTTAAGGTTTCAAGGATTGTGCTATCATTCATGGTGGGTCTTTGGCTAAAAGGAATATGGGAAATGCCCCTAGCCCACTGCCAGTCTGTATTTTGAGCCACAACTCGGGTTAGTGTGGATAGGTTATAAGGTAGGTGGCACAGCTGAGATGGGTGGTCCTGGGCCATTAGTTGTATAGGGTGTCCTTGTGGGGGGGGGGTTGTCTTTATTTCAATTCCTTTGCTGCTGTTTAAGTAGCACTTCAGGAAAGAGCAGGGAAAATGTGTACTATCAATAATTTTTTTTTTTTTTAATATATATTGATTTCAGAGAGAGGAAAGGAGAGGGAGAGAGATAGGAACATCAATGATGAGTCATTGATCGAGCCCTCAACCCTGGCATGTGCCCTGACCAGGAATCAAACCCCAGTCGCCTGGATCCTAGGTTGACGCTCAACTGCTGAGCCACGCCCGGCCGGGCTTTGTTTTTTAAATATATCTCAATAATCTTTAACATAAAGAAAGGAAAAACTGCCTAGGTGGACTCTGAAGTCACTAAGGGCATGGCTGGGTTGGGAAATGCAGTTTTGTTAATAACAACCTGTAGTGTAGATAAGATTGAGATCTGGGGGCAAGGGCTGTAAACCCCACAAGGTGTGAGGTGGGTGGATTCCTCTCCACTGGTTTCATCCACCCATGTCAACACTACCTCCTGGGGAAAGCCTCCCACTTCCTTAAAGCAAGACCCAGTTATGCTCAGTGTAGTAACAGACATTATGTGGTTCAGAACATGGTTCTGAGGACTTCAGTGTGCCTGCCATGAAATGAAAGCCAGCATAGTGGGCTCTCAGTTGCTACCATTGGGCTACAAGTGATAGAACATTTCCATTGTCAAAATTCTGAGAGATGGCGCAGGTATATGTACAGCTAGTATTGGTTCCAGGACCACCCATGGGTACCAAATCCAGTGTTGTTCAAGTCCTTTAGCCTTTCATATCCAATGCAGAATTCCACCAATTTTTATAGGGAGCTAGTGAACCCCATTGCTCTGGGAAGGGCATCTCTTCTTCCATCCCAGTCTGCTTCCATCTGCCAAGGGGGTGTCCGGCTGTATTCCCCCTGCTGGTAGTACTGGTGACATCTTGCCGCACTAGAATGTTAACTGAGGGGAAAACTTAAACTGTTAGAAGGAACTTGAGAGACTTAATGTCCAGCTGTCCTGTTCATATCTGCCCTACCCAACAGCCATGTGTGGCTGCCAAGCTGGGCTGCAGAGATGAGAACACTCCTTGAAAGTTATATGGAATAGCACTGATACTTCAGGAATACATACAAGTACAGTCACCCACTGCCTAATGGGATATGCTCTGAGAAACGTGCTGGTGGGCGATTTTGTCACGTGAACATCAGTGCACTGGACACAAACCTTGGTTGTACAGCCCGCTACACACCAGCCTGTTCTGGAGGGAAGGAATAACCTATGCCTCCTGTATATATGGAAGAGACCCAGGAAAACAGGAACTCACCAGAATGGCTGAAGCCCTACCTTAGATAACTTCTTCAGTTGAAGACAAGATGAGGGGGGGAGTCAGTTGTGGGAGATCACCAGGAAAAGCATAGTGAACAAGCGGAAGGGTGTTAAGTCCCCCGTCTTCTGCAGTGATGAATTTGAGGTAAGGTCATCCCCCTCTTGGTACAGTGAGGGAGACCCCTTAACAATGGAGACTTCCCATTTACAAATGTAAATGTCTTTTACAAAGGGTAGCTTCTACTTGGTTTTCAGAGCTCCCAATTCTACTGTTTCTTAAACCAGCCTAAAATTATCCTTATGCCAAATAGGCATATTTTGAAGTGATAAATTCTGTTCCCCTAAACCATATCACTGTACTGAATACTGTAGGCAATTGTAATGCTATTTGAGGAACGCACTGCACTGTTACAAGGGCTACCTCATAAGCAACGGAATTTTGCAAATCCATTGTACTCTTACGAGGCTACCAGTTTACTTCACACAGTGTGTGACTGTCAAGTTCTTAGAGGTGGAGAGTGGGGTTGATTGAGCACCAATTAGGTGCTAGGCTAAGCATCATTGGACGTATCTTCACAATATCCCTGCGAGGTTGGTGACACGCAGGTGTCTTCCTATTACCAGATAAGAAAATGAGCCTAGTGGCAAAATGCAGCTCGCCGAGTTTTTTGCTTGGGAGTTGGAGTTAATTTGGGTTGAGGTTGACCGGCATTACTCTAACCCTCCCAAGGAGGGCAGCAGCGTCCCAAGGAAGGCAGCAGCCAACCCTCCTTCCCCTTGAGCCTGATTTTGCAGCAGCTCTAAAGATGGTTTACAACAGGCAGGTTGTAAGGTATTCCTGAGACAGCTGCAGAGCTGGGCTATGAAGCAGGTAGTTGGGCAGGCAGGAGGAACAAAATTCAGGGGCAGGGACCAGGAGGGGCTAAGGCAAGCCTGGAGCCCGTGGTTTTCCCACAGGACCCAGAGACACCCTCACACACACTCCCGCCCCTTACTGGGGCTCCTGGCTTCCTCCCAGAGGCACAGCTGGGATGTATCTGGAGGAGCTGAGGGCACTTACCTCTTTCCCTGCTCCAGGCCTTGGAGTCGACAGCCTTTCTCCCTCCCCGACGCCTCCTCAAATACCGTGAATTCCGGCGCCACTGGGAGCCCGAGTCGGGCTGGGAACTTTCCTTCAGCTGGGAATGTGCAGCTGGGGGTGGCTGGGAATGTGCAGCTGGGGCGGAGGAGGGGAGGGCCAGCCTCTGTTCTGACCTTGGGGAGGCTGCAGCAGAGCAGCCCCAGGCCCTGGCTTAGGGCTTGGCAACCACTCAAATAACTGGATAGAAGCCGGCAGCTAACGTCTATTGAGCCAGGCCTGTCCTGGCTACCTTATCATCTAGGCCCCTTGGAGCGCAGGCTGTGCCTCAAGTGGGTGGGGAAGTGCTCCTTATTGTGCCCCCAGTGGCAAGAGCAGTGCCCGGCACAGGACAGGCACTCAAGAGTACGGACTTGGGCTGGGCTGCAGGAAAGTCCCAGCTCTACCCCTTCCGGTGTGACTGGGCAAGTTCTTTATCGAACCTGTGCCTCACTTTCCTCATCTCTAAAGTGGGGATTAAAGTCCACACTGGCCTTTTAAGGCTGTTGTGAGAACTCAGGGTGAATGAGTTCAAGTGAAGTGACTAATGCCCATGGTATGCCATTAGTCCTCAATAAATCTCAGCCTTTTTTGCTGCTGTCAGTTGCTTGCTGAAACTTCAGATTCCTAGGCTCCTACCCTGGTGGTTCTGATTCCAAAGGCTGGGACTAGATCCTGGGGCATGTGTGATTCGAACAATGTGCCTGTGAGTCAGAGGCTCACACACACTTGAGAATCGGGTACCTTCACTGAATCTTTACAATAATCCTACGACACAGCGACTGTTGATCCACACTGGACAGGAAACGCAGGCTCAGAGAGAGGTTACAATGACACTGGTGCCTCAGAGAATTCCAGGGAAGGTAAAATAAGATAATGTGGGAAAAGCGGGTAAGTGTTCAATCAAAGAAGTTAATGTTACCAAGGAAATTGATTAGGTTATGCTTCTCAGTGGGCATGCCGCAGCTGGGCGGGCACAAAGGATCCTTTGGCCTAGCCAGGTAGCTCAGTTGGTTAGAGCGCCGTCCCCATACACCAAAGTTCAATTCCCAGTCAGGGCGCACATAAGAATCAACCAATGAATGCATAAATAAGTGGAACAACAAACTGATGTTTCTCTCTCCTCCCTCTAAAATGAAAAACTTTTTTAAAAATCGAAAAAAGCCTTTGTCTCTGACCTGAATTTTTTGGGGGTTGAGGAGCACAATGAGGCACTACAGAGGTCTCAAACTAGAGAAGGGGTAAAAGGGATCTGATTATGCGCGGTGAGCACAACTGGAATATTCATGAGGGTGGGGAGTGGTTGCCAGGAGGAATCAGACAGATGGGGGACAGACTTTTCTCAGAATCTCAAACCTGAGCCACTCTGGTTAGCACGGAACTGGCTCTGAAGTTCTCTGGTACCAAGACCCAGCAGAATCCAATGAAGGAGGGATAGTGATCGAGACAGTTGATGGATTAGGAGATAGCTGTGTGAAGATGTACGGATGGACAGATGGAGGAATGGACGCTAGACGGGTGGTAGGATGGTGGATGAGTAGAGATGGCTGAATAAACCGAGGCCTGTGGGAGGTGATGGACTGGGAGGTGGATGAAATCACTGGCAAGACAGCTGCAAAGGGCAGACGTGAAGGTGGCTGAGCCGTGAGATACATGGAGGAGGCCGGGACACAGGAACTGAATAAACTGCTAAGGGAGTGAATTGCTACTTGGAACAAAGCTCCTTAACTTGGCTTTTCTGGATGGGCATCTAGCAGTTCCTAAACCCTCTAAATTCATACATACATCGAATTGTAATGAGTCCAGGTTCCAGTAATTCTTAAAAGGGTTTGAGATTCCCCAAATTTTCAGAACCACTGAGCTGTGCTGGGACAGACCTTCCCATTCATTGTCATCTTGTTATCCCCACTATTTCCAGAATGGGAAAAGAGACATAATTTCATAATATTAATTAACAAAATATTAATGGAATCCCCTTCCCCATCCCTGTTGAGTTAATCAAGGTAAGTAATAAAGACCGCTCGCCAAAGCAGATGCCAGCAGCTGGAAAGCTGCAGCAATTTTAGACTTGTGTTCAGTGTCTGGACTTCCGGGTGAAGTTCTGAGTCTGTGGCATTTGGTTGAAGTCCTTGCTTTGCAAGAAGCCTGATATCCTGGCTCACATGTGGAAAGGGGCATCAGGAGCCCCCTGGGCTCTGCGAAGGCTCACAGATTCTTGGGTGGAAGCCAATAGAGCAGGGTGGTTCAACCTTACCTGGGCCTTGGCTGGCCGTAGCCGCCCACCACCCCCGACATGGATGTTGACTGTGGTGGCGTAGCTGAGCCTCCTGGCCGGAGGTGGTGGGGGTTGGGGCTGGGGTGGTGGTGAAGGTGCCCGTGATGTGGGGGCAGAGGATGACCAGGGACCCCGAGAAGCTTGGGGGGCCTCTCCCCCAGGTCCTTGCCTCCGAGCTAAGCTCTGGCTGATGTAAGAGGCTGCCAGGTATCTTGAGAGAGCAGATGCGTTGGGGCCCAGGAGCTGACGGGATGGGGGTGGGGGACTGTGGGGTGGAGTCAAGTCTGAAGACTCTGATCTGGCAACAGGAGAAATGGAGTGGCCTCCTGGTTTGGACCAAACCACAGTGGTCTGAACTGGGGTGGGTGACAGGCCTTGAATGTCCCACGAGGCTCCTTCCTCAGGCAGAAGAGTGACAGCTGGAACCTGGATGTCTGTGAGGCTCTTCTGCTCCAACAAAGGTGTAGGTTTGGGGACCTGGAGGTCTGTGAGGATTTGCTCCTGGAGCAAAGGTAAAGCAGTGGGACCCAGAATGTCTGGCAGGCCTCCCTGCTTGGGCAAAGGTGGAAGTGCTTGGACCTGCATGTCCATGAGGCCTTGGGGCTGGGGCAAGGCTGTGGCAGCCTGAATGTCTCGGAGGTCCTGAGGCAAAGACGATGGAGCATTGGCTGCGATTTGATGGTCTAGGTGGCCTCCACATGCAGGCAAAGGTGAGGTATCCGGAACCTGAATGTCTGAGAGGTCGGGTTCCAAGGGCAGTGGGGTGTTGGCGGGGATCTGATGGTCCAGGCTGCTTCCATGCAGAAGCAAAGTATCCACAGTTTGGCCGCAGGCAGTGGCTGGGGACGGAACATCCATGGAACCTCCCTGCTTAGTTGACAGGGTGCTGGCTGGGCTCTGGCAGTCTAGGTGGCCTTCTTGCTTGGGCATAGGAGTGGTGGATAAAACCACGACATGAGAACAACTTCCCTGCTTCGGCAAAGCTGGGGGGGTCGGAACTTGGATGTCCATCTGGCACCCTTGCTGAGGGAGAACGGTGGTAGCTGGAAGCTGTATATCCCTGTGGCTTCTATGCTCAGGCAAAGGAGGGGCAGCTGGAACTTGCATTTCCAGGTGGCCTTCGTGATCAGGTAGAGCTGTGATAGCTGGAACCTGGACATGTGGGGGGCCTTCCTGCTTGGGAAACGGTGTGGTGGCTGGAATCTGGATGTCCCAGAGGCCTTGCTCAGGCAAAGTGGCAGCAGCTGGAATCTGGGTGCCCTGATTGTCTTGCTCAGGCAAACTGGAAACGTCTAGACCCTGGCCACCAAGGCAGCCTCCCTGCTTCAACAGGGGAGCAGCAGCTTGAACCTGGGCAGCAGGGCCTAAGGGGACAGATTCCTGGGCCAAAGTCAGTGGAAAGGCCAGCTCACATACCAACACATGTCCAAAGGCAGGCAGGGGCCCTGTATTGGAAGAAAAGAGGACTGACTCAGGACTGGCGCCCCAGCATAGACCACCTCTGCCAACCACATACCTGGACCTTACCTGGCTCGGCCTGCTCATGGGGCAGGCAGGGGGACAGCTGGGGCTGGGCCAGAGCCCGTGGTCTGCGGCGGGGAGCATTGGCCGATGCCCGAGTCTCAGCCCGCTGCATCTGCTGGATCCGCTCGCTGTAAAGCCGGGCCAGCTCTCGCACTCGGGACGCAGCCCGCTCTGTACTGGGGGCTCTAGCCTTCCCACTCCCACTCCCTCCACCCAGATCCGAATCTTCCAGAATTAGCAGCGGTTCTGGGAAACCTGGCCGGGCCAACTGCCCCTGTTCCAGAGCCTGCCAGGCGCTCCGGATTTCTGAGCAAGAGCGGAATCCCAGCTCATCCTGGAATCCATGGTCTCCGGTGCCATCCTGGGGCTGGAAATCGGGAAAGGATACCCTGTCCTCTCCCTCCTCCGCCTGCCCTGCCCTGCTGCCTGAGGAGGGCTCTCCCAGTTCTCCAGAACTGCCTCCAGAGAGCAGTTCTCTCCTGGTGGCTAGAGCATTATCTGGCTCCTGCCGAGGGCCCTGCAGCCAGGAGTCACAGGAAAGGGTGGGAGGGCTGGAAAGACCAGGAATGTCGGGGACACTAGGTATGACTGGAAGGCAGGGCATTTCAAAAACACTGGAAATGTCAGAGAGACTGGGAAGGCGGGGGGTTGGGGGAATTTCAGAAAGGCTAGAAATTTCAGGGTGGCTGGGCCCGGCAGGATGCTTGGTAAGGCCAGGAATGTCGGGAACTTCAGATGCACTGGAACTTTCGAGTCCCTCTAGGACGTGGAGTGGCGAAGGGCCCCGTTCATCCATCTCCAGCTCTTCCTCCTCCTCTGAAGAGTCCCGGCTGGGCAGGGCTGGGAATGTGGGGCTTTCACCGTCATGTGGCACCTGGGAGTCTCCTGGGAACTTGGGAATGTCGTGGGGGGGTGGCTGTAGTGGGCACTGGGGTAGAAACCAAAGGTATCAGGGTGCGTGGGCCGCCCTGGTCCCCAGGCTGTTCCTGCCCAAGTGGAGCCCCAAGGATGCCGTGATGGGACACCCAGCTCACCCCCGAATCCCGGAGGCCTCTTTGGTTGAGCAGCTCCAGGATTTCTTCAGTGATTGAGGTCCCGGAGGGGTCCAGTGAGGGGGGTCCAGTGTCCTCCAAGTCCTCAGGAGGTCCGGAGGCTGGACTTGGTGGCTGAGGCTCTAGCGGGGGGTAGAGCTCCCCCTCGCTGCCAGCATGCTGAGGAAAGTAAGGATGGAGGGCAGCACCCAGGGCCCCCAGCACCCTATCTTCCCTCAGATGGAGGAATCCAACCCCCAGCGCCCTTCTTACTCAGACCCAGGAGTTAGAACTCAAGCTCCCTTCTCTATCAGACCCCGGGGTCTGGGTCCCCAGAGCCCGTCTCAAGAGATTTCTTACCTTGAGTCTAGGCTTAGCTGGGAATGGAGAGATGAGAAAAAGAGTGAGATGTAGAAATAAGTATTATTCCTTCTAATCAATGAGCTGCTCCTATCACCCCTCCCCTGTGAACACTGGGCATCCCGTGGGAAGAGACAGACAGGGCTGGACCTGGCTGGGCTGGGCAGTCACTTACCGTTCTGTGGAAACATGACATAAGGGTCCTTCATTGGCTCTGGGGAGAGGACACATCTATGTCAGGGGCCCAGCTCCCACCCCGATTCCTAGTTGACCTTTCAGTGGAGGGAACTCACCAGACTGTCTACGGCCACGGCGGGTAGTAGGGGGACCTGGAGACGGAGCTGTGGGAGAGGCAGATCAGAACCTTGTTTTGAGCCCAGCCCCAGGCTTCTGGGAGAGAAGGGGCTATGGGTACAATTCCTGAGTGTGGGGGGAGAAGCAGGGGGTGGGACTCAGGGTTCCATCTCCTTTACCTGTGTTCCTTCGTCCAGGGGTGAAACTTCTAGCATCTCGAGGTCGGGGAGACCCTAGTAGGGGTGTCACAGGCTCTGGGATAGGCTTACTTTTAGGAGCACCTGTGGGGAGAGATTTGGGGCTAATAATCTACTTTTTCTTGGAAATAACTCCTCTACTTCCACACCTCCCAACCCAAGGCCCCAACTCACAGTGCAGGCTGTTTTCAAGAAGAACTTGTTTTGCCTGAAAGACACAAGGATGAGGGTTGAGGAGCCAGTCTCTTGAGCATCCCAGTCCCATTAATGGGTGCTACTACATGATACGCGCATTGTATGACTGATGACAATTGTTCCTCGCCACAACCCTATGAGGTCCTGGTGAGGAGACTGAGGTCAGAGAGGTTGCCCAAAGTCACAAAGCAGAGACATGGTGGAGCTGTGATGCAAATCCAGGCATCTGCTCTGCAATTTAACCACAATGCTTAAACGGCCCCCATCTGTGGCAGGAGCTGTACCTTGGCTGGGATAGAGGCAGGGTGGTTCTCAAAGAACAGGCGCTGGAGACAGTGAATCCACAGCCTCTTCTCTTCTTGGTTCTTGGCCTGGAGGTAGATGGTGGTGAAGTGGGAAGTCAGGTGTGAGGTTTATGAGCTACTGGGAACCCTGCCGGTCCAGCCCCACTCTGCTCACCTGGAGCAGGTGCCTGTGCTTGGGAATGGTCAGATCGGCCACCTTGAACCCTAGCGGGTCACGAGGGCTCTCGCTCACACTCAGGTTGCAGCACTGGATAGTGGAGCAGAGAGGGCAGCAGGCTCAGAGCCCTTGGACTCAGCAATGTGCCCCTTGCATTTGGGTCCCTACCCCCTAGAACTATGTACTCTGTATGGTTGTATGCAAGGGGTGAGGGGGTGCGAGGGGTGGGCTTTCCCCTGTTGACTCTCTGCACCAGGCTGGGCTCTGCTCTCCCTCACCAGCCCTCCCTACTCTCATCTGGATCAAGATGTGCTTCCCCCATGAACAAGCTTGCCTGGTGGGCAAATCCAGGTCCTCCCCCTCTGCATTCTTCTGGCCTCACCACTCTATTACACCTTGTCCCATCTCCAGACTCAAGAAAACATGGCCCTTTTAAGCAAGTTGTCCCTCCTTGCAGACCCAGCCCCTGGTCACCCCTCTAGGTATACAGGAATAGGTATATAGAACATAGCTTGCAGGTAACATTTCAGCCCCACCCCCATCCCCGAACTCACAAAGATGTGACCCTTATAGGTGTATTCCGGCCCCCGGCGTTTGGCCACGAGCAGCATCCGTGAGAATAGAAAGAGCAGCCGCTCACCCCCTCGAAATCGGGGGCCACCCCCTCCGCCACCTCGGAATGAGCCTTCCAGCACCAGCTCCCCAAAAGCACTGAGCTCCGGGCCAGTCCATCCGCCCAGCCGCCGCTGCACTTCCTGCCGGGACCCCGCCAGGTGCATGGGACACAGAAACACACCGGTGGGTGGGACACACATGCCAACACAGGGGGGTTAGCCAGGCCGTGCTGTCTAAGCCCACCCTCTGAGGTCACTTCTCAAGCACTGACCATCCCCCCAAAGGCCCTCATGTCCACTCCTCCGGTGCAGCCCACCCTGGAGTCACCTGGAGGCGTGCAGCGTGCTCTTGCTTGCGTTTCATGTCGTTGATGTACCAGGCAACTGCTGTCATGGACACGATGGCCTCCTCCACCATCTCACGGCCCTCGGTGCCTGGGCCCTCCACCCAGTGCTTGCCTAGCTCCTGCCGGGCAGCCACCAGGCACCCAGGGAGGGGAACAGAAACAGAGACATTGAAAGAATGATGATAAAGACAGAGACATATAAAGGTATGGGAAGAAATGGAGATCAGAGGTGGAGAGACAAACAGGGAGACAGGAAATGGAATCAGCTGATGCCAGTCCCCACTGCCAACAAGCACTGGCCCAGTATGTAGGGACTGAATGTCTCCCCAGGCCTTGCCCAGCTCGTCCTGGGTTCACCCTCCAGATGCAACACCAGGTAGTCCATGGACAAGACTTAGCCCCTCCCCACGCAGATCCCCAAGAGCCACAGCAAACCTGCAGCAACAGATGGTACTTGAGGATGCGCTGAACAGGTTTTAGCAGGAAGCTCTGCAGGGGCAGTGAGTGGTGGAGTTGGGCCTGGCGCTCCTGGAGCCACAGGGCTGCTGGTGGAGACAGCGACAGCTCCCGGAGCAGGGCTAGGGAGCTGGGGGCAGAGCACTGGTCAGGGGTGGGGGGAGCAGCAGCTCCGGTGGGCAGGGCTGGGAGGGATTGGGGGCTGGCAGGGGTGAGGGGCAGATTAGGGAGAGTTCAGTTACTATCATGGTCTGGCAGGGGATGGAACTGGATGAGTTGAATAGAGGGAGGTTGGCTAGCACAGCAGCTCGTGGGCACAACCTAGGGGCCCTCACCTTGGGTAGTTCATGCAGTACAACGTGTAGATGTCAAAATCCTCGCTCTGCGGGTGACAGGGGAGTCAGCAAGACCTCAGACTCCCCATGCCCCCCCGCAACACAGGCTTGCTCCTCACTTACTCAGGCACAGGCGAAGACTGAGGCCTGGCACCCCAACTCACCCTTCGAACGAAGCACTCTGCAATGCCCCCTGCAGTGCTGCTGCGATCCAGGTCCTCCAGGAGCTCACTGTGGGGCGAGGGAAGGATGAGGGCCCCATAGCATCCCCCAGGGAAGGACTCCAGGAGGCTTGGTGGCTGCCAGGATCTCTCTAAGGGATGTCATATCCAGAGGAAGAGCCCTTTGACCCCTACATGGAACCTCACAACCTGCTCAGATTTCCTTGGGCTGAATCACATTTCTCAGCCTAAAATCTTGTCACAGCTCGTCTGAGCCTGGGTGTCTCATGTCATGACCCAGGGAGAGCAATGTCACAACCTTCAGAGCTGTGATGATCTTAAGATCCCATTGTTGATCCTGAGATCTTGTCATGACTCTAAGACCTCCTGCAATAACCTTATGATCTCAGCCTTGGCTGAATAGTTTAGCTGTTTATAGTGTGGGTTTGATCCCTGGTAGGGACACATACAAGAAGCAACCAATGAAAGCATAAATAAGTGAAACAACAAATAGATACTTCTCTCTCTCAAATCAATTTTAAAAAATAATTAAAAATAATAACCTCATGATCTGATTCTTGGAGTCCGGCATCCTCCTCACCGGGGACAAACCACCCTGGGTTGTTCTGGGCTGAGGGGTTCCCAGGACACAATGCTCACACTGTCATGCTCTCCAGGTCCCACCTGAGTCCTGGACTCATTGTGTTCCCAAGTCTGACAAGTGTTAAGACCCATCCCGATGCCTGGACTATCCCCTTACTGGGACTTGGATCTCATCATCAGGCTCCATCCCCTCCTCCACACTCTGGGTCCTCCCTCCCCATCAGGATCCTGCCCAATGTGTTGACACCTAGCCCCCCTCTCCTCGCCCACCAGCCATCGCCCCTGACCTGCTGAACTCGTAGATGTCCTCGATGTTTGCAAACAGCGTGCCCACCTGCTCTGCGCTCAGCCCCAGGACCCCGCCATCCAGCAGGGGGCCCAGGTAGTCCTGTGGGCATGACTGGGGTTACTGGGGCAGAGGGACTGGCCTGGGTCCCCGCTGCCTTCAGGTGCCCTCCTGCCTCACCTCCACAATGCTGCGGAGGTCCCGGACATAGGCCTGCTCTGTCTCCACGATCTCACGGGCCACACGGTCCAGTCTCGAGGGTTTCACCAAACCAGGGGTCCCCACAGGTGACAGATGCAGGCGGATGGGGGGCCCTGGAAGGGGCTCTGGTCTGGAGGCTGAGCAGGCAGGGGTGGGCCCTGGGGCCAGATCCCCCTCAGAGCCCACTGTGCTCAGGGATGTGGAGCTCCCAGAACCTCGGGGGGAGGCCATGGCAGGGTTTGCGGAGGCTGCTGGGGATGCGGAGCAGGAGGTCAGGGCGGTCTCCCTACCTGAGTGAGTGCTCTTAGCCCCCACACTCACACTTAGTCAATGTCCTTCCCAAGGCTCCCTTCTCCTCTTCGTACTGTGCTGCCTTGGTCCAGTCTCGTCCTCTCCCATCAGGATCCTCTCTGAGCTTCTGGCCTCCACTTCACTAATCCACCTCCATGTATCAGCCTGGGATATCTTTATTAAATTGCCTGTCTGACTCTGTCACTCCCATGAGTATAACCCCTTCATGCCCTCAGGATAAAGCCCAAACTCTTCAGGTCCAAAGGACCCCATGCAAGGTGGACATTAGAGGCCATTCCAGTCTGCCCTCTCCCCACAGCCATGCCACTTCTTACACTCCAGTTTCCAGTCACACTCAGCTTCTTTCAGTTACTTAAATAGCAGCCTCCTCTTACCTCTGGGCCTTTGCACACACTGTTCCCTCTGCGTGGAATACTGTTCTTTGCCTTTCCCAACTCATTCCTCCTAATTTCTATTCTCAGTTTAGATGTTACCTCCTCCAGAAGCCTCCCCTGACCTCCCAGACTAAGCTCCCACAGCTCCCTGGGCTTTCTCCCAGCTGTGACCACTCTGCCCTGGGATACCCCCTCTGGACTGTCACTATTTAGGGATGGGTCCATCTCCCCCACCAAACTTGGAGCTCTGTGCAGGCAGGACTGGGGCTATCTTGGTCACCCTGTGTTGCCAGCACTGGGCCAACCACAGAGGGCTACACTGTGTCTTGAATAAAGGAATGAATGCCTAGCAGGCTCTGCCCCGCCCTTGCATGCTCACCTGTCTGAGTATCACACACAGTTGCACAGTCACACACTTCACCTCTGTGGCTGGGTTTGGACAGGCTCAGTTCACGGGCTCCCTCTGGCATGGCTGAGTGGCTCAGCGGCTTCTGCAAAAAGACCCCCTTCTTGGATATCAGGACCCCATAGGCCTCCCTGGCGGCCACGCTCACAGCTTGGGGGCTGAGAATTAAGAGCGTGGTCTAAATCCAGGGAGGGGCCCCTGGGAGTAGTAACTCATGGGGCAGACGGAGGCAAAATGATAGAAAGAGGGGGACAAGGAGAGAGAACATAGAGAAGATGTAAAGGCAGAGACAAAGAAGAGCGCGATAGCGAAAGAGTCGCTGAAGCTAGGAGTCCGGTCGGTCTGGGGCCGTAGGCTCCGGGATCCTGGGAACGGCTGGGCTCCGGCTGGAGCCGAGGGCGCGGGGCAGGGCTGGGAAAAGCCGTGGGCGGGAGGCCGCGGGGTCCCAGGGGAGGGCGGAGGAGGCTGGGGGACCGGATGCCAGGGTCCAGCAGACGGTTCCCTCCCCCGCCAAGAGCTGCGAGTTGGGGCGCTGGCCCTGAGCCCCCGAAC